CCAGCGCTCTTAACTGCTGAGCCATCTCTGCAGCCACAAAAGTTCCATAATTACTTTTCCAATCTTAAAAACAAAAGGCTCTGCATGTTTGACCTATAAGCCTTGTTTCCCACTGCATAGGTCACTAACCCAAATTCTTGCATTTTCAAAATTAGTGAGAGCAACTACTACTTTATTATATTTCTTTCTTATTTTATAATCTTTACATTGAATTTGTCTAAGCTATGCTAGCAACAGAAATTTCTTTAAAATGATGGACTGAATAACAGATAGTTGGGTCCATCTGGCCTCAGTTTCTCTCCTGCTCTCTTGAATCCCCTTTGAGTACATAAAGCAGGCAGCTCTTGCAAACTTAGTCTCCAATTGCAATATTCTTTACACCCTTCAGATGAAAACCACACATCAAAGTGGTAAGCAATCCAGGCCCTTCTAGCCTTCCTCACATTTATTTCAGGGATTAATAAGTATTGTTATCACAGTTGCCTCACTGCTGTGGATTGTCTTCACTAAGAGCCTGTCTGTACCAGATCCCATGGCAACAGTCATCTCTCCATTCTGCCACTTAAATTATGCTGTCCGTGGAATGTTCTCAAAACTTTTTAAGTATTTTCATTCTTTAAAAAAACAGACTATCCATGTTTGAAAGTTCTCAGTGGACTTTGTAAGATGATCTCTTGGTAACCACCACATGTGTGTATTGAACAGCCAGGGTTAAGACCCTCCAATCTTAACTTCACACCTGAAAACTGCTAACTGTTTACCAAGGCAGGTGTTTCTGTGATCAGTTTCAATAGATTGTCATACACACACACACACACACACACACACACACACACACACACACACACACCTACCTATCAGAAATATTCTAGAACACTAAAACTCTACATAGATTCTTTTAATCATGTTATCTCACTCATTTTGACCATAACCCCAGAAAACCCAGTTTTCTCAGGTTAATGAAATAAGAATCTGGAAAAGGTGGTCATGGTCGGGAAGAGCAGCCAGTGTCGTTCAGGAAAAGAGCACTGTGTGCAGAGCTGAGGGGCCACACCCGTGTTAATCCAGGTGCAGCCTTTTCTGAATGCATTTCTGACTGTTAGACATTTACACTGTGGATCTTTCCTGCTTCTCAGGTTGGCACAGCACATTTTATTTGCAAACCCAGACTGTTCAAGGAAGCACCCACTATGGTTCACCTCATCCTCTGCCCTAGTTCTACAGGCCAGCCATTCCTCCTGACCTCCACTCACCCTGGTCTCAGGAGAATGGGGACCAGAAGGTCCTCAGTAGAGGTTCTCTCCCCTGCAGACTGCAACGCGGCCTTTTCCACTTTGACAGTTGCTAGAAGGCTGCTGCTTCTTCCTTAAACCCCGGCACACAGCCTCGGAGTTTCCCTTCCCAGTCGCTTGTCAGGAAGCTGGGAGTTGACCCTGTGCAAGTCCGCAGCTCATCTTCTGCATAGCTGTTTGGGGTACACCATGGTACCATCTTCATTACCGCGGCATGAATATTCCCTTCTCTCTACTCAATTGGTCTTCTTGCATTTGGCTCTTTTATTATTAGCTGTCAGAAATTCTTTGGGGAAGTTGTTGGGTATAAATAATAAATTGATGAAGGAATTTATGATTAAAAAGACAGGTCACTGTTCTCTCAGCTAAGGCATCAGAGGTGACTAGTGTGGCTATCTTAACATCTGGCCTGTATGTATAGCTTTGTCTAAGGGCCATCCATACACTGCCCCCCGCCCCTGTTTTTAATTCACTGGCAAATTTAGGAGCTACTCACTTAGGAACTAATATCACTGAAAAGAGATTTTAAAGTGAGTGAGGTTCTTTTCATGAGAATGGTAAAATATTAGCTTGAGGACAACATTTGAGACTGTAACGGGAAAATCAATCAACCATAGCAAACAAGCGTGAAAGACTTTTCATCCCAAACCACTGAACGTCGTGTGTACCCTCGAGTTGGGAGCCGTTGACAGTGTTGAGCCTGCGTGGGCACACCTGGAATTATTGTGGAAAGGTCCCAGCCCCTTTCCTAACAAGGTCATGACTTTCTGTGGGGCTGGGGCTGAGCCTTGCTGGTGGGGCAAGCTGCTGCCCACAGTGACCGGGTCATTTGCCAAAAGAAAACTGCTTTGAGTTATTAATGCTAAGACTAACTCGTCGGAAACAGGACTATGTGATTTGACCAGAGAAGAGGCTTCTGTTCCTGGCTCCAGGGGGGTGCACTCTAAACAATTACACCCGTGGAGAGAGATGTTGCCTTGTATTTTCATCACTGGGCGGCTGAGCTGTGTGCCTGCCAGGCTTCCCCATCTCCCCTCAAGTGACAGCAGCATTGACAACATGTTATACTCCACATTGATTTTACAGTTAAGGAGCTGATTGTGATGTATAGGGATTTTACGAATTCAGCTGAGAGGCCGACTTTTGCCTTTTATCATTCCATTAAAATTTTATAACCATCTTTTTCATGTCATTTCACCCATGAATTC